CGTTCACATCTTATTAGAATATAGGCACCTGGGTGTCATTATCACTGCTGAGATATTTAATGGCAGCCCTCCTTAAACAGCCTCAGCATCAGCCAGCCACGATCACCATCATCATCACTGTCTGCACACTCAACGTGTGTGTGTGTGTGTGTGTGTGTGTGGGTGTGCGTGGGTGTGCGCATGTGTTCAATAACCTTTTGCCACAGCTGAATGTGACACTCTAAATACAGATTCCACATCAATGACAGCAGGTCCCCGAAGAGCTCAGGAAGCGCCTGATGACACAGGAAAACAGACACAGCGTGTGTGTGAGTGGATGTGTGTGTGTCCGAGTGAAACAACGATCTCTTTCCCAGCACAGGCACCTTGCTCTGATTGCTAATTAGCTACTTGTCAACAGTCTTTCCTGTCTCCTCTCCTGTGTCTGCACGGTTACATGAACACAGATTGCACGGTTAGAAGCACATTTCACAATGCTGCACAAGATCACATACTTTAGCCTATGTGTCAACACCAAAATTGGTTCATTTAGACATTTGTTTGCATGCATGAGTCATTTTCTTCATCTACTGCATAATGTACCTTAAATAAATTACAAGAGAAACTCACCATGAAAGAGTTTGTAAAACCAACTAAACACATGTAGCTTGGTGCACATGCTTTCACTAGTTTCTGTGTCTCTGGTTTCACTGAGGGAGACAGGTTGAGTCGTTTTTCATCACTTTAAAACAGTGTTTCCAGTCCTGGCCCTCAGGGTGCACTATCCTGCATGTTTAGGAGTTTAGGATGTGTTTCTGCCTCAGAACAACCTGAAAAGGGATGAAAGACTTCAACAGCTTGTCAAGTTCTGGAACAGTCTGTTAATGACTTATCAACTTATAGCAGGCATGCTGAAGCAGGAAAATATGAAGAAAAGATGAAGGTGTTCCTCAAAGACCATGTTTACAAAATATCGTCTTAAAACGCACAAGAGAAATGTCCACACTGAGGGCCAGAAGCTGCCTTTAGGTCATCTACAACTGAAGATAGATTCAATACTTAAGAAGAAAACAAAACTTTGAAAACAAGCAAAAATAAGATTGAACAGCTATCTGGTCCAGTATTAAACAGACAAATGCATTCATACTTATGCAAATAATTTTCTTCTACATAGTTATGCAGTCCCCTAACTCACCACAAGGTGGCAGCAATGCATCAAGTTGTTTACATTTTACAGGAAAATCTAAGTAATCCTTTTTCTGTTTGTCCCAGCAGTTTTGATTGGACGAAAGTTCAGTCAAAACTTAACAGCACAATTTGAAGCACCCTATTATTATCAGAACATCTGCTCAACCCACCACACTGACTGCTAAAACATAAAAGAACAACTGCAACTGTTCATTCTGACCCTATGGACATACTAAATGGATAGTGAAGCAGCGGTTAGTGCTTTTGTCTCACAGCATTAAGGTCGGAGGTTCAAATCTTGGCTCTTCTGTGTGTTCTCTGGGTACTCCGGCTTCTGCTTAATAGTCGAACGTGCACGATAATTTAAATCAACATATTATACAGCTTTTGGGTGGGTGTGTGCATGCATGTTACTGTTAGCGTTTTTTTCAACCAAAGTAACTCTCGTTCCATAAAACACAGTTAATACGGAAAAGGAGATGGCGACTTTGTGCAAGAACAATGGTATGTACAATGTTTTCATTTGCATATGTTCAGCATCCCAAGTAGTATGTAGTAGTGTAACGGAAACAAGTAGTAAACTCACGTTCAGAACCGGAACCTGAAAAGGGTTATGTGGAGCCTGCGGTGGGATGGAACCAAAAGAACAGCATTCCTCCAGCTGAGACCATCACCTATGTTTTTCTTTTTTCTCAAATAGACCTGAAATTTTCTCTTGCAGGAAAGGCAGGCGGGTAAAAATCTGAATGACAAATGTTTTACATTTGTAATGTGTTGCACAAAATATCTTAATACTTTTCACATGGCATATGCATTTCGCAAACAGTCTGCAATATGCAAAATGAATATAATGCAGTGGCGGTTCAACATTAAGACTTACCGTGTTGAAAACTTGTTGGAATCGGAAGCTGGGAGGAAAGCCCTAAAAGTGACTTTTAGTTTAACTACCTTTCAGAAGCAGCCAAACATTCAAGCTGTGTTTTGGAAAGATTATTTGAAGGTATGCATTACAAAAGCAGAAAACATTCCGTGGCCATGTTTCAATTCCGCAGCTGGCCCTTTAAATATTACAGAAAGTTACAGACTTACTCAAGGTATAACAACTAAAACATAATACATTAGTATGTTTTGATTTAAACCATTCCATTGTAGCTTTTATCATATATTTAGGTAATTGAAAGTGAACTTTCACCGCAGTTCTAAGCGTCTTAAAGCAATTAATAGGTTTATTCTAGGACTGCTCTGTATTGACTTCCAACCATCTTCACATCAGGTCAGACCAGCTTCTTGGTCTCTGCTGAAGAAAAGCACCTCCAAATCATAATGCTGCCATCACCATGTTTCTCTGTCTGTTCAGGGTGATGGGCAACTTTTTTTTTTCCACTACGGGTGTGGCCAGAGCTCCTTCTTCTACATGCTTGCTATTTGTCCTATAGACTTTCTATGTTTGTTTGTTTTTTTTTGTCGCTACGCTGGATTAGATGCCTTATGAACGCAATAAGTTGCCTTGGATTTTATTTAGGTGTATCAGAATAAAGGGGGCTGCATACAAAGGCGCAAAACTGTTCCAATGTTTATTTGTAACATTGAAAACCATGCGGTTCTGTTCAGCTTGAAAATTATGCACTACTTTAGATTGTTCAATCACAAAAATATCTTATTAAAATACATTAAAGCTTGGTTACTATGTAAAAAAAAAATGTGAAAAAGTTTATTACTTTGCAAGGCACTAGAAAAGACAGAATCTCAATTTCTGTCCAAAAAAGGAACAGAAGTGCATCAATTCAACTATAGAAAAAGTATTGTCTCCAGAAGATAAGTAATAAAAGGACACATGCACGCACTGAGCAACCTCCAGTGTGTCTAATGAGGTGGAGAACAGTCACCAGTCCTAATAGCGAAGTCACAGTGTGTTGTTGCTCCACCGTCTGAGATCTGTGTCTCTCACTCAATAAACATTCGCCTCCTCCGTCGACTGCAGAGAGCCAAATGAGCCGACAGAAAATGCACTAGTACCGATGCATTTCCTCTGCAGCCGCTCGCTCTACATTACATTCAAAACAAAGAGATTTCCATCCGCTGTGCCACAGTTACAAAAGTGGTCCGCTTGTTCACCCACAATGGAGAGTTAACTTATTTTTAAGATCAGATCACTTTATTTTCCTGTTGAACTTGATTCTTAGAAGCAATCAGGAATTTGCTTTGTCGGAGGACATAAAAGATACAGCGCAAAGTTATTTCTGTTGTCTTAAAGTGCTTTCTTTCTCATTAAATGTGTAGTTCTGAAAAGGTCAGGGACGGTTCTCATTGTTAAGAAATCAGGATTCACTCTTGCCGAGATGAAGCCACACAAACAATAGTTCTGCAGATGGAACATGATTTCTACACTCAAGCATCCACCTTGACCTTTCCTCTGAAATGTTATGGGAGAAAGAAATTACTTTTCACTTCAGTGACTGACAGGAGTTTTATGCCTTCAGTCCCTTAGAAAATATTTGGACAAGAGGAGCATTTGTAGGTCATTTTAGACTTTAAAAGAACAGATTTTTAGATGTTGTGAAGCTGTGTCTAACCTTTTTTTCACATTAGTATAATCTAAACAATTGATGGCTCTTATTAAGGATCCCAGTGCCTGAGAATAGAAGATTTAGCAAGATCGTTTGGCAAGAGTTTTCTCTAAGTTTTCTCTAAATTTGAGGCCTAAATTCTTGTCTGCAATTCTGTCTTCCTGTCTGATTGTAGCTGTGGGCTCCCCTCAACCCTGCAGCCCATAGAAAACATCACCTTAGAAAAAAATGAGTAGAAGGTTTGGGAATTTAAGGTTTTATAAACCCATCATCAAGTAGGTTTGAAATCACTTCATAAGGGCTAACAAAAAAGTTGTGGATGTACACTGGAGTTTTAGGCAGCATCTGCAAACCCACCCTTCAAAGTTTCCTCTGAAACACTGGTTTAATTTAGTCTCTTTTCCAACTGTACATGCCGTCTTCTCTGACTGTGTTTGTGCTCACTGAAATAGAAACTGAAGATAATCATGAAAAGGAAAAAATGTACAGAAAAAGTGAACTGGAACATTCTGTCAGGCGTTGACGTTAACATGACTGCTGGGAAGCTTTTGTAATGCCGCCAGGTTCCTCAGCAGCTAATTAGGCAGCAACATGTTATTTTAAGCGTCAGATGTACATCTCTCTAGAAGCACTAGATGAAGATAAAAGATCTACCTGTGGGGACCGTTCCTCGTTTAGTTCACAGCTGTGGTTTTACAGCATCTTTGCTGTAAAGATTTAAGTCTCAGGAAGATTCAGAGAAAGATGTCGAGGCTCAGACAACGTTTAACCATAGAGCAATTATCGGGCTGAAAAGAAAGGTCTGGAATTTAACATCAAAATTTAAAATAGATTTTTTATTAGTAAAGAAAAACAAATGTTGTATTATGTCTTTAGACACCCTGTAAAGTAGAACATACCAATTCTGCACCTTGGCAGCAGACCGCAGCTAAGCTGATCAAATAATGTTTTAAATAATAAACTTTTACCTCATCTACTGATTGTTCCAAGATGCTTTGAGATTGCGTCAATTTACAGTTTTAGCATTTCCATTGGCATCTGATAAAATATATGCATATTGCATTATGGGTTACAATTTTTTCCTATTCAGTTATGGTGTCTTTAAGTTAGACATTATCAATAATTAAATCAAGGTGATCTCAGCTCAGGCGCCAATCTAGATCAGGTCTAGTAATGAAATAATCTAAATTCTTTGCACAGATAAACCATAGAATATTTTAAAGATCACACACTTAATTTTAAAGGATATATAGTCAGAAATAGGGCTTCATGGTGGTGCAGTTGGTAGCACTGTTGCCTTGCAGCAACAAAGTCCTGGGTTCAATTCCTGTCTTTCTGCATGGAAATGGCATGTTCTCCTAGTGCAAGTGTGGGTTTTCCTTGGGTACTCCAGCTTCCACCCACAGTCGAGCCTTAGGCTTGAATGAGTGTGTGCATGGTTGTTTGTCCTGAGGGTTTCTGTGTTGCCCTGTGATGGACTGGCGACCTGTCTAAGGTGTACCCTGCCTCCTGCCCATAGCCTGCTAGAGAGAGGCACCAGCTTCCCTACAACCCAATATGGAAGAAGCGGTAGAAAATGACTACACAATGACTACTGTTACCAGCAGCTGACGAAAATCAGATCTAAAGTTATCTTTATCAAAAATATTTTTTGAATTCAGTAAAATCCACCTGCTAAAATCAATCATAAAGAATCAAAAGCGTCCTCAAATATCTGCCAAATAGTTGGAATTACATTTCTGTTTGCTTCTAAATACAGACAGAAGTCATGAAAGGTGAGGACTGTTCAGTTTCAGCCATTCCGACATGAGCCCTTAAAAGCAGCAGATGGGCTATTTAGAAACTTCTCAAATAGAAACACAAGCAGCACAACATTTAAATTCCTACTAGAATTAGATGAAGTGCTCCAAAGAACATGCAAATTAGCTTTATAATTCAACTTAAAATTGGTGCCCCAAAATTCAACTGATTATTTTATTTTGATTTCATAAAAAACAAGAAGGTAACAAGATGAAGGAAAATGTCACTTCTTTTCATTTATGCAGCTGAAAAATACTAAACACCCAGTTAAAGAGACAACTTTTACTGGCTACTTGACTAATTATGTGATTTATACAGCCTCTTAACATCGTTAGGAAGATAATCATGAAAATTACAATTGAAAGCAGCAGAAAAACAACACACACACACACACACAGATCTGTCATACTGTATATCACTTCTCTGTCATCTTCAGAGCCTACCAGAGGATTCCTCTGTAGTTGTAGTCTCAGGCGAATTGTACTTTGCTCAGCAAATACAAACATTTCCCAGTTATGAGCAGAAGTGCCCGAACACGCCTAGGAAATGCAGCAGTGGGTCTGATGAATGCGGAGGATGAAGAACTGGCAACAGTTAAACATGTAACAAAGAGAAACGCTAAGCCAGTAAAGATAAGGATCGCATTCCTCATGCAAAACATCCACTCTGCTCCACAGCTGCATTGCAGTCAGACGCAACGTCTGCTAGACAAAAACTAAAAGATTAGGTCTGGTTTCATGAGGTTGCCATTTGAATTTCATCCATTCAGTTATGGGAATGTGTGTGTGCTTTTAAAGGCAGTGGTTACGGTTAGCAAAAATACTGCTGCTGTTGCTGCTAAAACAAAAATGAGAACCAAAAACTGAAAATCAAAATCTTTGTTCGGACAGAGCTGGTTTTGTTTTTTCCACAAGGAGATAAGAAAGAAAACAACCCGTTGCATGGCATCTACCCCACCCTGTGGGTAATACTATTAAAAATGCATGCTTCTCAGCTGCAGCATATGGCATTCAGTAGAATAAGGGTGATTTAAACCTTTAAACATGGTCCATAATTCCCTGTGTAGAACAGCCCAGTTTGACCTTTAAGAAACTACAGACTTCATTTAAAGTCTAGGTTTACCACTTCACTCTTACATATAAACCAAAGTATATGTGGAAGTCAATGCGTGTTCAAATTTATCCCCTTTTCATAGTCTTCAGCCAAACTAATCTACTGCAAAGGCAAATAAATCCAGGCCCATCATCTTAGAAACTGTTTTAAACCTTAAAATACCATTACTGAGAAGGCAGGAGAGAAGGCGAGAATGAACTGGCATCAAAGGGCAACATCCTTTATTTTAAAGAGAACAAAGTCAATGTTTGGTGACATTTTAGTAGTAATACTTAGTAAAATACATGGCAGCAGGCTGGATCATATGCTTTCCTAGACTGAGGGCTTCTGAAGGTATTTCCAAATGCAAACCTGACTGAGTAAAAAAATATAACTTCTGGAAATTAGTTTTAGTACTTCCAATGTTGAAAAAGCAAACATTTCATTTCAAATACATCTGCGGGTTATCAATGTCTCACATGACAACCAAAATAATTATTATGCAATAGCATCTTTATGTACGGTATCATGAAATGTTTGTCTTAGGAGATGCAGACACAACTTGACAAGACAAAATAGGCAGCAGACATGATGATGAAAAATAAAACTCAAAATCATTCCTTTTCAAAGAATAGACAATAAAATGTTAATGATTTCCTCGGGTCTCCAGAAGCAGACTTTAGAGAGACTGAGGACTGAGGTGCTCATTAGTTAATTATTAGCTAATCGTTTGCCAGAAGTAGAATACTGAGGTAGAATAGAGTACACACAAGGTCAAAGTTTTCCCATTACAGATTTATAGTAAAAGTACCGCTTTGCTTTCTTCAGGCGAGAGAACAAAATGCTTGCAGCTTACTGAGCTCTGCATAGGAAATAAAATCATCTTTAAAGTGTGATAAGATGGTGAGAAAAGCTACAGGGAAGTTGCTGAAATACAGACTGAATTAGAGCTTCTTTTTTTTTTTTACTTACAAAACACAGAAATCAGAACCCAGGAGAACATTAACCCCCAGGAAAGGATTCAGACACATTCCCTTAAATGACTTTTCAGACAGACTCCAGCTAAAAGTGGGCCAAGGTATGCATTATTCCACCCTGTATGGGGTCAGCTAAAAGGCTAAGTGGGTTTAGTGCTTTTGCTTTCACTTCCATGCAGAAAACTCTGAAGAGAAGGCATAGAGTTTTAAGATGAATTGCACCAATGTTTTAAGATGTTAATGCACAAAGTCAGACAGGGAATATTTGGCATAATTAAACGTTTAACCGCAACGAAGTGTTCCCATAACTAAGCTATTAAATAGACAAACAGATGAAAAGATATAGCAAGCACAACAACGGCAGTATATAGCTAAATGCATACAGTGCCTTATAAAAGTATTCTTAAAATTTTACATTTTATCGACTTACAATCATAAACTTTATTGCATTTTATTGGGAATTTTTGTGATGGACCAAAACAAAGTTGTAAAAATTATAGTTCATCAGCTTTCTCTATGCAAAAGAAAGTCTGAAAAGTCTGGCCTGCAACTGTTTTCAGGTTGCAACTGTTTGATACTCCTAAATAAAACCCAGTACTTGACTTCAGACATCAGCAAGAGAATCTACTTGTTTGTAATTTAATCTCATAAAGGTCCAGGGTAAATCAGAAAGAGCTCCACAGCCCATCTGTCCAGAGGACTATTAGCCCTGTTGCTCATGCACATCACAAATCCAGTCTTATTGGGAGAATAACAAGAAAGACATAGTTGAAAAAAGCATAAGAGGTTAAAGGTTGTCACAAACCATGTAGAAGATACAGTAAACATATGGTGCTCAGATCAGAACATAACTGAACATTTGAAGGAGGCTGGTCAGAGTTGATGAGAACATGGATGGAGCTTAATACAGTGTGATCATGTAAGAAAACCCGTTGGACAAGGGTTGTCCAACTTCAGTACTCTAGGACCAGTTTTAGATGTTTCCTTGCTCCAAACACAGCTTATTCTGGTGGCTAAATGCCTTCATCAGCATGTCATACAACTCTCGAGAAGCCTGCTAATGAGATGTTACTTTGATTGAGGTGTGTTCCTTCAGGACTTACTATGGAGGCCACTGTGCTGGGGGCTTACCTTTCAACAGGACAGCGGCCATAAACATACAGCCAAAGCTAGAATGAAGTAGTTTAGATCAAAGATTATTCATGTGTTTGAATGGCCTAGTCAAAGTCCAAACCAAGCTGAGGATCATTGGTAAAAGATATAAGCTCTCAATCCAGTTTGACAGAGTTTACGCCATTTTACGAAAAGGGGAAAAACTTTCATTGTCTAGAATTGCAAAGCTGATAGAAACATACCCTAACAGACTTGCAGTTGTAATTGCAGTGAAAGGTTGTTCTACAATGTACTTACCCACGGTAGATGAAGGCAAATGATCAGATATTTATTTATAATAAATCTTGAAAACCATTCTACTTTGTCTTGGTGTACCACATACAAGTCCAGTAAAATACATTGTAGTTTGAGGTTGTAAGAAGAGGAGGTGTGGAAAAGTTAAGGACTCATGAATAATTATGCAAGGCACTGTAATTATTTTATTCATCTCCTTGGGAAAATGGGAAAATGTATATATCCCATAACTCATAAGGGACCAAACAAAAGATAAAATATAACAACCATTCAAACATCAGGTGTGCAGGTTTGATCATCTGGGTTCCTGATGCCCCCCATGGACAGACAGGGTTTAGAACCCTCTTTACTCCTATGTGCTCTTCACAAACAGAGACTTTACATGCAACACACTTGTAGCTACAGAACTTGGACGTTCGCTGTCCACAGATAACTGGAAATAATCAGACATCGCTTTTACAAATGGACTGTTGAGATCAGCTTTGAATTATTAATGATGTGAGGAGGCCACTGTAGGCACCCTTTAATCCATGCCAATGCAAATGGACCCCAAGGTCAGCAACATTACACTGCAGCGGCCTTGGCACAGATTGACTGGGAGAGTCTGTGAAATGGGGTCTCTCATAGTTTAGCAGAATACAGAGCGTGCTGTATAATGGAATGGCCTCGAGCCCACAGCAGGCAGAGCGGGGAATTAGTTGGAGCCTGGGCCACATCAAAGTATTTCAAGGACAGAGTGAGTTTTTTTTTTTTAAACCATCACCCCACTGAGCTGCCATTTTCTCTGGAAACAGGATTCACAAAATAACCACAACAATGCTGCAGAGGGCCAGAGCGATAATGAGTGAGGGATGTGTGTTTTGGGACTTCTCTTTGCAACGCTGCCTTAATTCTACTCATTATTTTGTGAAGGACAGCAAGAGGATGGCCCTCACGGCTAAGCAGGTTCTGAGTGGAAGAAGTTGAAACTAATTTTAACTTTTAGAGAGCCATGCACTTTAAATGAGTTGCATAGCAACAGCAGCAAATGGTTCTGTGTTGCTGTTTATGTTTGATGGCAGGAAGACCCA